TGAAATGGCCATCAGCACCCTACCCCTGAGCCACCTCAGGCTGACAGTGTGACAGCTTAATTTGTGAAAGGAAAAAACGAAGTAAAGGCTATAATTTACAGTTGGGATAATTGGCCAACTGTTAGGAAAGGAAAAAGATTCTAACATACAATCTATGTAAAAATAGCGTGCTTGCTACGCAAACTCAGCTTCAAGATTCAGTCCCAGCTGCCATAGGCCCGCCTCGCCTTTCTAACCAAGCAGCTGACCCTAAACTTCTCCCAAACAGAAATTCTAGAGCTTCCCCAAGACATAGTGGGTGAACAAAACAGACTTGGGATCATCTTTGCTGAGTTTAGTTTTGCTGCTGGAGCATCAAGTAACCAAGGACTTGTGACCCAGCAAAACGAAGACCTTGATGGGGTAAGCCAAGGGATGGTGGGAGTACAGAACAGTCCTCTGACCCAGGCTAGAGGACAGGTAAGGCTCCCCTTAAATATGTACTGAAGAATTACAGAAAGTGCCAGCTAAGCTAATACTTGAAGCCTGAGGTAGAATGAGCCAGATTGGCCCAGGAGCGGAAAGGAATTTCAGGCAGAAGGGCTGACAAGAGCCCAGAAGCTATTGAGAACTTGGCTAATTTGGGGAACTGAAGCTAAAATTCCTTTGGCCTGGCTGGGTGGGTCGGCTTCCTGGAATTGCTGATTCCTGTTGGAATTGGTCTTGGAGACCTCCTGTTGCCTGCTTCCCACCACCCAGCTGCAGAGCAGTGCTGGCAGCATAGTCTCCTCCGGAAGCCTCTTCCGTATAGAACCTGACTCCTCCTCCCTGAGAATAGGCCGGTAAGCTGGGGACCCAGAAATCTGAATGACTTGACAAGAAATTTGAGGCTCTTGGCAACCTTACATTGAAGGCTCCAGAAAGTAGAGGCCCAGAGAGGGCAGAGATATATGTAACATCACGTGGGAGCTGGGCTCTTAACCACCTGGGCTGAGAATTTCCTTCACGAATGTACCCCCCTGCCTTCTTTCTTCTTCTTCTTTTTTTTTTTTTTTGGTGGGTGTAGGGGTGGGGTTGGAGGAGTACTGAGCCCTGACAGCTCTGCCCAGGTGGGGGCACAGCATTCCTGAGCCAATCTCACCCTGGCAGATGCAGCTTGATAAGGCTAGGATAGGTGGGGATAAGGAGTACAGGAAGCTAGAGGGCCTGGAATTGGATGGATGGAGGGGCTAAGGAAGCAAGCTTCTTTTTTTTTTTTTTTTTTGAGACGGAGTTTCGCTCTTGTTACCCAGGCTGGAGTGCAATGGCGCGATCTCGGCTCACCACAACCTCTGCCTCCTGTGTTCAAGCAATTCTCCTGCCTCAGCCTCCCGAGTTGGGATTACAGGCAGGCACCACCACGCCCAGCTAATTTTTGTATTTTTAGTAGAGACAGGGTTTCACCATGTTGACCAGGATGGTCTCGATCTCCTGACCTCATGATCCGCCCACCTCGGCCTCCCAAAGTGCTGGGATTACAGGCGTGAACCACTGCGCCTGGCCTATGGAAGCAGGCTTCTGGTATGCCCCCATGTTTAGGTGGCTGTGGTAGTACTGGTGGGGAGTGGAAGCTCAGTTTCTAATTAAGCCCAGCCCTCATGTCTCCTTGCTCCCCATTAGCGCCCCACAGTGTCCCCAAGGCATTTTAAGCTGCCACCCTACTGAGAGGCTGGGATGGCTGCCAGGGCCTGCCAAAGCTTAGGCCTGTGAGGAGCAAAAAGCCAACTCAGACTTCTCCTGTCCATGGCAGTCTCTGGGTCCTCCAGGCTTCTCAGAAGCCAAGTGTAGGGGTTGGGGGGACACTCCTACCTGCCATGTCAACCTCTAGGGTTCTGAACAGAATCTAGACTGTTTCCCTTGGGGCCTTGTCCCCGGCACCACTTCCTGATCCCAAAGTGCCAGGCTGGGGACAAGGAGCAAGACCTAGTATCAGTTTCAGCAGCAGCCCCCAGACTCAGTGTTGTGCTGTTAGAATCCAGCACCTACCAAGGAGTCCGCAGGAAGCAGCAATTACCATTTTAGGTTAAGGCAGCCCTGGTTTGTTAACCCTTGCAGCACTGGGGCTCCTGAAAGCTGAGTTGTCCTTCCTCTCTTTCCTCCTCCAGACCTTGCCTCCCAGACGTCATCCCTCAGTTCTTGGCAGAATGAGCAACCCAGACTTGCCATCCCCAGGCCCCCTCTACCACCACATTCTCAAGTGGAGCTCAGAGAGGTGGAGCATCAGGTCCAAGGTCACACAGCCTTGGAGGCAGCCTCTATTCCCGAGACCCAACATTAGCCCAGTCTCAGTGGCTTCCATCTTCACAATCTCCCTAGGCCACATTCACACATGCAGAGTTTAATTAACTTTATTGATATTCAGAAATTAGAGGAATGACTAAAGGTAATTGCTCATTAAAAATCATTAAACTGACACAGCAGGCTCGGCACACGCAGCCCCTCCCACACCTCCTTCTTCCTCCACTGTGGCTGGATGGCCCAGGCACCTGGCTTGGGAAGATACTCTGTGGCCCAAGGTGCCCCTGATGCCTAAGGCCAGTCGTGCCTTGGAGGCTGTAGAAAGGAATAGGGGACTGAGCCTGTGAGGTTGGGCCAGGCCCAGCATGATCTTGCCCTACCTTTTCAGCCTTACATACCAGGCCTCCCGAGCATCTGGGCTGTGCCTGGCTGCATCCCACCTATAAGCAAAGCTCCGAGGGCCTCATCGGAGAAATGGCAGGGCCAAAAGGCTGAGGGATACAACCTTCCGGCCTCCAAAAAGGCTCATAACCCAAAGCCTTTGCTCCTTTTGGCTCGCCTTTGCAAAGCTGAAGTGCCAGGAACTCCGGGACGGCCAAATGTGCTGCTCCCCAGTGAGATGACTCAATATCCCAAAGACCTCCAGCCCTGCCGAGGAGAGAGGAGCCTCTGGCCACTCAGCTCTGACATCCCAGCCCTCTCACCCTCAAGCTTGGCACTTCGGAGCTACTTCTTTATCTCCCTTGGGGAGTGAAAACAAAGCTCTTCCCCAATAGCCAGGCTCCTACCCCACATATCCCATGGGCAGGTGCCCCCATGGGCACTAGAGATCCTGACAGTTGGGAAGGGACATTGCCCAGGGACACAAAGACTTGAGGCCACAGAATAGGCAGATTCCTCCTAACACACCCACATCCCCATCAGGGCTGTTCCAACTCCCGGCCACACCAGCCTTTCTCCTGGATTCCCACAGTCTCACTCTAGCCCTGCAGGGAGTTCTCTGGCTGAGGCTGCACCCACATACTAGTGGCCTCACACAGTCCTCACACCTGTTCACTGCTGAGCCCTCACCCATGATTCGGACCACCTGGAGTACAGATACACTGGGACTGGCTCCTCTAGGCATGCAGGGCCCAGATTACTCTCACATTCAGACCCACAGACTCACACACAAGGCCTTGACTACGTGCCAGGGGACAGACACAGGCTCTGTACCCTAGGGGAGCTGTCCAGTGCCAGGACCCAGCCCCACGCAAGATAGGTTTGGAATTCCTAGGGACATCCTCAGGCAGCTGGGCAGAGATTCACGCTTCTCCTCCCTGGCCTCTGTCCCTGGGGTGGGGCTTGCAGGACTCTTCCCCTCTCCCCACAAGGTGAACACACGGTTTCAAGTTCTGGGCGCTGCCGGAGGACCCAGCGTGGGCAGTCAGGTGGCGGGGTGAGGACACTGGGCTGTGTGAAAGTGGAGCTAGAGGCTCAGTAAAAAGGCTTCCCCTTCTCTGGGGTGGCAGTTTTCTTCCTGGATGAAGAAAACTGCCGTCCAGGGGTCCAGCCTGTCCGTGGTGGTGCTGCCCTGACCTCAGCCATGGCCTGGAAGGATCGAAGAGGGAGGTTAGAATCTCCCACCCTCACACTTCTCCACATCAGATGCTACAAACCATATGGCAAGGGACGGCAGGTCCCAATTCCAGGTGCGGTTCTGCCGACCCCACCAGCTGACTGGCTGTAACAGGAGAAGGACCTGGGTGCCAGTAGCTTCCATGAGAGTCTTGTTTGAGTCCAGACAAGACTCAGAAATATTTCTTCTCTGAGGCACGGAACCCCTATCCTCTCCCCAACACTCCCTTGTCACCCACTCCATGGCCAAGCTTCCCTCGACCTGAGACTGATGAAGTTGGGGACCAGGCTCCTAGAGGGGCGCGGGGATTCTCAGGGTGTGGGGGACTGGTCCTCCAGAGACGAATCTGCCGCGGGGTTAGTGGGTGGACCAGGGCCGGGCAGAGGCCGGGAGGGAGGCAGGGCTCAGGGCAGTGGTGTGTGTGTGTGTGTGTACAAGGAAAGGACTTTGGAGAGGATAGAGTCTCTATCCCAGGACCTCCACTACTGCAGTCCCGGGCAGAGCCAGGAGCCGGACACGGGGTCCAGGCCCTCGGAGTTTCTCTCTAGAATTGTGCTCTAGGTTCCGACTGGCGTAGCAGCGCCGAGGCATGGGGAGGTGAGCGAGGTCCCAACCCCGGGTCCGGCCGCCATCCGACCCCGTATCCCCGCAGTAACAACACGAGAGGCCCCGGAACCGGCGGCAAAGTCGAGCGAAGTTTGGCGGACGGCAGAGGAAACGGGACCGCGGCCGCCAGCTGGACCGTCCCGACTCACTGCCCTGTGCCCCCCGACACGCGCCCCGGCGCCCTAAGAAGCCTAGAGTGTGGCGAGGTAGCGCACGGGTGAGCGCGTGTGTGCTGGGAGTGGGTGGCGTGATGAATTGCAGCAGAGAAATCCCATTAGATCTGGGGAGATGATTAAAGGCGAGGTCTCGGCCGGGCGCGAATGGCGGGAGCCGCGGCAGCTTCCCGCCCGCGAAGCCCGCGCCCCGCCCGGCTTGGCCGGCGCCGGGGGCAGAGCAGCCGGCGGGGCTCGGTGCTTGGACTGGGCAACCAGATGAGCGAAGCTGGGTACTGGGTCTCCCTTCCCGCCCCTGGGGCCCCGCTCCCACCTTCGTCCGGCCACCGAACGCCAGGGTCCCTTACCGTGAGCCAGGAGCGCCAGCAGCGAGGGCAGGAGCAGCAGGGCTGCCGGTCGCATGGTGCCGGTTGCGGCCGCTCCCCGGGCTGGGACCGCGGCGGGAGGGCGGGGGGCTTGGTGGGATTGGGGCGCGGGGGCAGAGCCGGGTCCGGCCAGGGAGAGGGAGCGGGGCCACCGCCGCCGCCACCGCCGCCGCCGCCGCCAGCGCCTGACAGAATCAGCACCACGGCCAGCGCCTGGCGTCGGCGCCGGGGACCGCCGCGCGGGGCTGGGGGCGGGGGCGCGGGAGGAGCGGCTTACCGTAAAGTCTCAAGCAAAGGCGCAGAGACCCAGGGGCAGGAGCCCAGGCTCCCGCGCCACCGCCAGCGCCCGAAAAGGACTGCCCTACTCAGGTGGGCACACGGCCCCTGCCCTTCTGCGCTGCCCACGCCCAGCCAAGCCTGCCACCCTCTGTCCCGTTAACAGCCTGCCAAGGAGGTGGGTTGTCTCTGAGTCTCCATGAGAAAAAGCAACACCTTCCCCACCCCTCTCCACCCAATCCTGGTACCTGAGGGCGCCAAGGGTGACCTGGGAACACGTCCGAGTGAGGCAGCCGGTGAGGCCCGCGTGCCCTTGTGGCAGTTTCGTCTTGGGCGGATAATGAAGATGGCTTTTGAGCGTACAAAGGACAATAAATTATTACTTCGCGCTCAATAAATGCCAGGGCTCCAGGCAGCTGCATCAGCAGCAAACTGTGCTCACAGAAAAGCTTAATTATCCTAATATTATAGTTAAAAGCCAGTGGCACTCGCGTCCTGGGGAGACATTCTTCACTTGGCAGGAGGCAACCTGGGCCAAGCTGTGGACAGCGGAAGGTAGTATCCTGGGTCTCCACATAGCCCTGGGTTTCCAGGACTCTGCCTTGGCCCCTCTGCAGGAGCAGAGAAGCCACAATGACAGTTGATACAGACCCTTCATGCCATCTCTGCCCAGGTTTCTGGAACTGGTGGAGAAAATGGGATAGGCATGAGAGAGGGTTCACTAGAGCTGTTTTATTTTATTTTATTTTATTTTCTTATTGCTTTTAGAGACAGGGTCTCTGTTGCTCAGGCTGGAGTGTAGTGGCACAATTATATTAATAGCTCACTGTAACCTCAAACTACCGGGCTCAAGAGATCCTCCCACTTCAGCCTCTTGTGTAGTGAGGATTACAGGCATGCACCACCACACCTGGCTGATTTTTAATTTTTTTTTTTTGTAGAGATAAGGTCTTGCTATGTTGCCCAAGCTGGTCTTGAACTCCTGGCCTCAAGTGATCCTCCTGCCTCAGCTTTCCAAACTGCTGGGATTACAGGCGTGCACCACTGTGCCATAGGGCTGTTTTAGATAGAGACTTGAAGGAGGCCCAGGGGAGTAGGCTGTACTATTAAAGGCATGGAAAAATAACCTTCCGGAGCCCTGAGGAGCCCCAGTGAGTCACAGGATAGCAAGGAGGCAGTCACAGCTCTGCCATCCTGAGGCTGTGCTTTAGAGGCAGGGTCTCATGGATGGACTCACTTGGAGAACTTTAATGGATCCAATGGGATAGGACCCTATGGCTGATGTTATTATTTCCTGTAGAGGAATAGGAGAGCTGGCCGGGCGCGGTGGCTCAAGCCTGTAATCCCAGCCCTTTGGGAGGCCGAGGCGGGTGGATCACGAGGTCGAGAGATCGAGACCATCCTGGTCAACACGGTGAAACCCCGTCTCTACTAAAAATACAAAAAATTAGCTGGGCATGGTGGCACGTGCCTGTAATCCCAGCTACTCAGGAGGCTGAGGCAGGAGAATTGCCTGAACCCAGGAGGCGGAGGTTGCGGTGAGCCGAGATCGCGCCATTGCACTCCAGCCTGGGTAACAAGAGCGAAACTCTGTCTCAAAAAAAAAAAAGAAAAAAAAGAAAAGGAATAGGAGAGCTGAAGTCCTTACCTTATTGCCCCCTGTGAGAAGGGCAGTTTTGTGTTTAGTTCTTTTCATATGAACTTGGTTTCTCCCCAAAGCTTCCAGACTCCAGTCATTGTCCAATGTCCTTCCTGACCTCATCCTGGAAGCAGGTGGTGAAGTTTCTCCTCAAGTTCCTTAGAGAATCTTTTGGTCCTCTTGACCAGAGTCTCCCAGCTTTGCTGGTTGGACTCTCTCCAGACACTCTTCTTGTGGGCTCTGGGGAGCTGTGACAACTGCTGTAAAGAATCCCAGGCAGCAGGCAGATGGCGTGTGGAATTAGGGAGATGCTGGGATTTCTGGACAGTTGTTTTGAGAAGCTGAGGAAAAAGAGGGCAGTAGCCGAAGGGTGGCAGGAAGAAGGAGGAGTTGATGAAAGAATCAGGGGTGAGGAGAGGAAGCCAGGAAAAAATGTGCAAGGCGGGGGGTGGGGGGCAGAAAGAGAGTTGCCAACAGAGGAAGGGAAGAGGCACAGAGGTAGAAGGTTGTGTGGCTGAGGGAAGTTTAGGGAAATGCTAGCAAATGTCATGAGATTTCTCCTTTCCTCCTTGAACGTATTCCTGGCCCCTCATGGCTAGGCAGCTTGGGCAAGAGGGGTGAGTCATGACCTAGGGATGAACCTTGGATGCCAGGATGATTGATGGGAATTTGGAGGTTGGTGGCAGGCTTGTCTGACTCTCTTGGCAACAGGGCTCCTTGATGGGCTTGGCACTACGTACATGAAGGAGGGTGAGATGAGCCATCCTGAAACTTGCCACATCACCTTCCCTATGGCCTGAATTAACCTAGAAGGTTGAATGGAGACTATAAGTCCCAGAATACAGCACTGTACCCTGAACTCAGAAGATGGGCTTACATTCCATGATGGGCATGACAATGCACCTGGGCTGTCCCTCCCTCCTAAAGGCAATCAACATAGCCTCTATGCAGTGGGTTCCCAGGCAGGTTGAGGCAGAGCCTGGGCCAAACTGGGAAACAACAGAGCCTCTGTCAGGTGCCCTCTGTCATGCCCTCCAAAGGGCTTGTCCTAATCAGACCTTGATATTACCTACAAATTGAGAACAACAAAATGCCCAAGGGGACACTTAGCTGTATACAGGGCTGGCAGGCTTATAGTCTACTCAATTCATAGGCACATTTGAACAGGGTGGGATTTTCAAGGCTTCCCTCACTGCTCTCATTTCTCCTGTTCTCTTCATCCCCCACCTGGCTTTTTGCTCCCAGAGAACCCGGGCTTCCTCTGTCTGTGTAATTCCTTGCTTCGTTGTCTGCTCTACTAGTTGTTGACTTTGCAAAGGCATGGATCATGTCTGTCTCTTCTACCCACAATCTAGCTCAGTGGTTGGCACATCGTAGATGTTCAATAAATATCTGTGGATAAGCGATAAGGATGAAGAGTGTCTAAAGCCCAAGGTTGGTCACTGGTGCCAAATGAGTGCTGTGAGATAATGAAGAAGAGGGCAATTGTTTCTTTTGGGGATGAGGCAAAGTCAGTGAAATCTTCACACAATGGATGAGTGAAACCAAGTTTAATTTTTTTTTTTTTTTTTTTTTTTTTTTTTAGAGACGGAGTTTCGCTCTTGTTACCCAGGCTGGAGGGCAATGGCGCAATCTCGGCTCACCGCAACCTCCGCCTCCTGGGTTCAAGCAATTCTCCTGCCTCAGCCTCCTGAGTAGCTGGGATTACAGGCACACACCACCATGCCCAGCTAATTTTTTGTATTTTTAGTAGAGACGGGGTTTCACCTTGTTGACCAGGATGGTCTCGATCTCTCGACCTTGTGATCCACCCGCCTCAGCCTCCCAAAGTGCTGGGATTACAGGCTTGAGCCACCGCGCCCGGCCGAATATGTTTTTTTAAATTAATTAATTAAAAATAATTAATTAAATTTTGAGACAGGGTCTCACTCTGCTGCCCAGGCTGGAACACAGAGGCGTGATCAGGGCTCACTGCAGCCTCAACCTCCTGGACTGAAGTGATTCTCCCATCTCAGCCTCCTGAATAACTGGGACTACAGGTGTGCGCTATCACGCCTGGCTAATTTTTTAATATTTTGTAGAGACAAGGTCTCCCTGTGTTGTCCAGGCTGGTCTCAAATTCCTAGGCTCAAATGATCCTCCCACCTTGGCCTCCCAAGGGGCTGGGATTACAGGCATGAGCCACTGCCCCTGGCCCAAATATGCTTTATGATTCAATGGAGAGGGAGAAGGAAGACAGTCAAAATGGGTGGGTGAGGTGTGGTTTATGCAGAGGCACAGTGGTGGCAAATGAAAGCTACTCTCGGGTCAATGAGAAGACTGGTTCTGCTAGAGCAGAGTCCCTGCTGGGAAGTAGGAAGAAGGGCTGGAGTAGGCTGGGGCCTGGCTGTGGGAGGTTTGGTGGTCACCTGAGCTGAAAGACATCCTTGGCGGCTACACTGAAGGGGTTACCCCATCACGAAGATATTTGCACTGAAACAGAGCAGTCTGGCATCATTAACGTATGTTTTCAAGCACTATAGCAAGTGGTAGGAACTGTGGGGTTCACTGCTGACTCAGAAGCCAGGGGGTGGGTTGTGTGTCTGAGCTACAGTGACTGAATTAGGATTGAGAGCCAGAGAGAGGGAAGAAGGGGCTCTTCAATCCCAGAGACCCCAGCCCCTGCCCAGACAACACTAGACATACATACAGCCCCCATCCCTGGAGAAGCCAGCTTCATTTCCCCAGTTCCAAACAGGCCATCAATCTGTAGGATCACAGGCACACTGGTGACTTATTCTGAAGTCTCTGCTGAGATGACACTTGCTTTCTGCACAAGAGGAGGAGAAAATTACTCTCTTCCAAGACAGCTTTCAAACCAGAGCTATATCTTTTGTGGAGCCAAAGGGGTTTTAGGGTTTCAGGGAGGCAAGGGCAGGGGCTGCCACCTTACTCCAGAGGCTCCCAGAGGCACAGAGCTGCTTACCTCAACCCACTTTGTGGAGCAGGCTCCGAGACCTTGCAGTGCCTAGAACAGTCAGGGCTGCCAGGGCTCCAGCCAGGCTCCCAGAATTACCCAAAGTCAACCTACTGGATTTAGAGGCAAGAGGGCCCTGCTCTGATAAATGAAGAGTCCTGGCTCTGGGCATTTGCTCCTGCTCCAGGAGCTGGACCAGCTTGGCTACGGGTAGAGGGAGATGCAGCAGAAAGTGGTTTGATGTGAACTACTTTCCATCTCCGAACAGAGGCCTCCAGCCTGCCCACTACCCCCAGCCGAGGCCTTTGATCCTCCACAGCTCCATAAATGTTTAATGCCACCGGCTGGGCAGAAA